TTGAAATATTTCTAAGTATGGAAAGTCAACCCTTTTTCCCCAACTTTGACTCATTGCAAATTTCAGCTCAAACATTCACTTGATTCCATTCTTTTTCCATTGCAAATCTTGTAATCTCATCTTTCTAAAGCATCAAGAATCATGCCTTAAGACCCCTTGAGCTGAGAATGCCATTGGATTGAACTTGGTAACATGGAACTGATGTTTCTTCATAAGTCGGAATTTTAAATTCATGTTTTGGCTTCTAAACATCAAATTAGCACGCGTTTGTGATCTAAACATGTTTAACCAAGTTTCCAAAGTGGATTAGAGCCTTAAAACGCAAGGATTGGATGAGTTTTGGTGCAAAACAGATCACACCTTGCTCGTGTATTAGGTTCACACAATTTCCCTCCAAACTTCATCATTTCACACGCTTGAACATTCCATTTGATTCCCTATAAATAGAGGGTCATCCCCCATTTATTTCCTTAAGCTTTGAGAGCCAAATACACTCTTCCAAAACCTCACACGAACTTCAAATTTTTGAAATCAGTTTCTAAGATTCAAGCCTTTTCTTCCAAAATTCTTTTCACATTAATCATCCTTCAGCATCATACAAACTCTCCAGCACTTAAACCAAGCAAAACGAGCCATAATTCAAGCTACATAAGTCCATTTTCAGAGCTTCTTTCTTGAACTTTGAAAAGGTAGAATTCTCCACCATGTGGATCCAAATAAAGCACTAACCTATTCTACTCTTTCTCCTGATTCTCGTGCTTCTTACAATTTTTAAATCCATTGAGAATTGAGAGAGAAATCTCAAATTGAAGGTGCTCGATAGTTTATGAGTTTTTTATTCATATCTCTTTGCATACCTTATATAAATTTGGCGCGATGGTGGTGTTAGGATCGTCTTGAAGAGACGAATCCAATGATACTAGTCTGGGATCCTAATTTTTCCATTTGAATGATCTCACAAAATCTCCATTGTAGGGTGTCTGGAGGTTGAAGATGATGACATGTCTCGTCTCAGTCAATGATAGTGTGTCAAATGTTTTAATTTCATTAGTTGCCCTTTTCTGATCCTATGCGTATCTCACTAAGGTCCATATCAAGCACAACGCGTCTGGTCTATTGGATCAGCGTACTAACGCGTTTTGACTATGATCTGATGGCCCACATCTTTTTGGTTTTATTTTATTATCTGATTTTATATTTTAATTGATTTAATTTTCAAAAATTCATAACTCTTTTATTTATTATCCAAAAATTATGAAAAAAATCACAAAAATACTTTGAATTATTTCTGATCTCATGACTATATTTTCACATTTTTATTTTAACATTTGATATTTTTTATATTTTTTGCATTATTTGCTTCCTTTTAATTACTTTAAAAATATTTTCTGACATTTTTTAATTCTAAAAAAATTCATAAATATCATTTTACATATTTCTGACTTTTTGAAAATTTTATGGAATTTTATATTGATGTTTACTATTTTTTATTTATTTTCTATTTATTTGAGCAATTTTAATTAGTTTAAAAATAGTTTCTGACTTTTAAAAATTACCAAAAATTTTATAAAAATATTTTAGTTCATTTCTGATTTTTTTATGGTCTTACTTAATATTTCTTGATTAATTTGAATATATTTGATATTTTTATCTCTAATTTGATTTTTAAACATTTTAAACCTTTTATATATATATTAAATGCAATATTATTTTGTGATTATTTTCTGGCTGATCTTGGATTGAATTTTTGAACATGAACTTTGTTAACATCATTGGATCCATGGTGTTGAGTCTAACTCCACAAAAATGGATGAATGATTTTAATAATAGTTTGATTAAATTATAATTTAAATGTGGTTTGTATATTCTTTCTCACCCCCTCTTCATCTCATCCCTTCTTTATTGCACTAAATGTTATTGGAGCGTGATCTCTATATTATATCTCAAAACAAATGGTGCATAGATTGTTATTGATCAGCCTCAGAATAGGTGCGATTTCTATATAAGTCCACTTACAATTGCTTAACATAACGCTAAATTTTGTCCAAATTCAAATAAATGATCATTCGTGGCCGAAACCTATGTTTCCAAGCCTAAGTATATTAATTTGATCTTTTTGATCCAATAACCTTGAGATTCATTCTGTGGAGGATTTGGTTCTACCAATCCTCTAATGGATCTTCATCAATTTTGGTCAATGCGGATCACTTAAACACCGTTGACCATTACATGTTACTTTTGAGAACTTCAAATGGATGATATACTTAACAAAAAGAAAACGCAACTTGTTGTATGGAGGCTTTGGTTCTACCAATCCTCTAATGAGTTCCAAATGCAAGTTTCAAGATGGTCATCCAACTAACCACTAATTATTAAATTTTTTTTTTTTACTTTATGCTTTTATTTTTATGTTTTATGTACCATTTACTTTAAGCGTTACATTTCATATCATTTTTATTTTGCTCACTTGAGCATTTATGTTCTTGTTATTTTTATCTTTATTTTGCTCACTTGAGCCTTTCTTTTAAGATACCTAATAATCAACATGAACCATAAAATGCTTTAATGATACTTGGACTATTTGGTTACTATCCTTGGCATTATGGAGTATTGGACTTCTTAGACTTAGGATTAGAAACCTTGCCTATGTTGGAGACCTTGCGACCTTAATTGATATTTTGTCTGGAGTTCTTGAGGTTTACCTCAACATATTGGGTTGTTTGTTTGTTTTGTGTGCAGATTATTGTGATTACATACGTTATTTATAATCTGGAATTCACCCGTATACAACCGTTACTCTGCCGAATTTTTGGTGAAGACTTAATACATTTGAAATTTGGTTCTCTCAAGAGGTCTAGTATCTCTGCTTGCTTGGTTTCAATCCAAAGAATGAGAATTCTATCTTGACTCATAATGTCAAGTATTGACTTCTTGTTGGTGAGATGGTTCTTATCCCTAGCTTTTACCTTATGCTTTAGGATAGTCCCTTTTCCCCCTCACATCTTCTTTAATTTCAAAAAATCTTCTTCCTCCTTTTGAAAACTCTTCTTGTTTCTAAACTTGAACCACTTTCATAATAAACTTGGACTTAGGTCCATGCATTTTTAAAGTTTTTTTCATAAATAAACTCCAATCAATTTAATAAAATCTTGACCTTTTTTGTGAGAAGACTAAAAGTCAATCAATCTCATTTCAAACTATTTTGCCACTTTGGCTTTTTTATTTTAAAAAATTTTTCTCAGAAGATTAGACTCTTGTTAATCCTTGTAGTGATGCAAACAACTATACTTCTATAATATATAGTGAAGTGAGATATTTTCCACTTGGGTGTTGAGTGAGGCTTTGTTGATTTTAAAATCCAAGCCATATCCTCCACTTTGAGATGATGCAAATTCTCCTTTCTCATGATTGTGGATAGTAAGTATGTTTTCCACACGGACAATGACGATGATGTCTTATCTCATAAAATTAACCAACACACTTGTGTTTTAAAAAATTTTAAAGAGGAACTACGTGTACCCTGATCCCTTATTGCACGAAAGGTGGTACGTAGGCACTAAAGGTTTGCAACCGCGCCGGGTGCAAAAATCATAAAAAAATATATTTCTTTTCTCACCTCCACCTTTTATTTTACATACAACATTTTATAGCCAAAATATACAGATTTTTACAAAGAGGTTCCTGCTGAGTACCATAGATGTTTAGGGTGCTAACACCTTCCCTTTGCATAACCAACCCATTTACCTTGAATCTTTCACCCGCTTTTTGGGTTATTCTCTCTTTTCCCATTCCTTTGGAAACAATAAAGCGCAGTGGCGATTTTTATTTTGATCTGTATAAGTCTAGTCAATTCAATGGCTTAGTCTTAAACATTTCTACCGCTATAATATTATAGTTTGCTGACTGCAAACATGATTGTATATAACAAGTGTTTATCTCAACAGATAAATCCAAAGAAATTATTCATGAACCAATGCAAACACAGCCTTATTTGTTGATTTGTTTGTTTCAGACTTCTATTATAAATTTTTTCTTTGCTTCGTATTATATTTCTAGGTTTTACTGGATGCCATTGACAAGTAGACATCTTTAGAGATGCAATATATATATATATATATATATATATATATATATATATATATATATATATATATATATATATATATATATATATATATATATATATATATATATATATATATATATATATATATATATATATATATATATATATATATATATATATATATATATATATATATATATATATATATATATATATATATATATATATATATATATATATATATATGCTCAAAAAGACAGACCAAGCGATTGGGAAATTAAGAGAATTTGAACAGAATTGCTCTCACCTCTATTATTACATGGAAAGTATAGTTTTCCACCAATAAATACCCAAAAACTCCCAAATACATGTTTATATTTAGTCCCTACAAGTTAGGGCTTCAAAATAGAAAAAATAGGAAGCTTTGTGTGTGAGACGATTGTATGGGGAAGAGGACAAACGACTCAGTATGGTAAGAAGGTTTCATTCACATGTGGTAGATCATTTAAGAACACGATTGAGGAAGACGGACGATTCAAGCAAGAGATTCTTTGATTAACCATGTTCTATATTTTTTATAGTTCAAATCATAAGATTTGGTTCTTTTTGTTGCATGTTCTAGAAATTTTCAGGGATGGATTTTAGTTTGATTTTTCATTATGTAAGTAGCTTTGTTAGAGAATATATAGTATATTACAAAGAGGGACATGAACATGTAGACGTTGATCCTGATAGGTGAAACTTTTTTGAAGCTACTAGTATTTTGAAAGAGATTATTCAGCTTTATCATTCACAATATTGGTTATGATAGTGTAACTAATAATGATGCAGACATGTACAACATAATGGTTAGTGATAGTGATGTTTGAGATTTATAAATGTCATTGAAATGAAATGAGTAGTGCACATATATGTTAAGCATAATGTTAAAGACATGGATGTAGTTAATGTTGAAGAAGATGAAGTAAATGATGTTGGAAATAATGTTGAAGAACATGAAATGACTTATGTTAGAAATAATGTTGAAAAAGATGAAGTAGCTGATGTTGGAAATAATTTTGAAAAAGATGAAGTAACTGGTGTTGGAAATAATGTTGAAAAAGATGAAGTAACTGATATTGGGAATAATCTTAAAGAAGATGAAGTAGTTGATGTTGGAAATAACGTTGAAGTAGACGAACATGAGAGTAGTGATAATAGTGACTTTGAATGTGATGGCATAACATTTGATGATAGTGAGGATGAAAAAGTTCTTGGGTTGGATGATAACTTTGATTTAATTGATAAATAAGTTGAGGTCCAGGACAAAAGAAGTAGGGCACAACTTGTATCAAGGAAACACATGCACACTCCAAAGAAATTACCAATTGGAATTTTACATATATGTTTATATTAGTGGTGTAAACTATGAGATGAACACTAACTATGTTATTTATTAGCTTGGTAGTAGTGACTTTGATGCTTCAGATCAAGAGAATGAACCAAAGTATTCCAGGTTTAAGATTAAGGTATGAGACAAGAATTACAAGTTCAAAGTGGGGTTGGAGTTTAGATCACTTGATGAAGTTTAAAGAAGAAATTATTGAATGGCCAGTGTTAAATGGAAGAGAGATAAAGTATGTGAAAAATGACAAATTTAGATTAAGGGTAATTAGCAAGGGCAAATGTGGGTTTTTGGCACTTGTAAGTAAGTTGAGAATAAGCATACATATAAAATGACGAGGGAACTTGACAAGGGCCATAATAAGGGAATGACACAAATAAGTTGTTGTTGCACAAAATATGGTATACATGTTGTAATACGGTGGCAGAACCGACTGTTTTACTGGTTTGTATTTTGTATTTGCAAATGTTGCGGTAAGCAAGATTCGCCACCGACTTTTCTTTTATCCAACAAAAGAAAGGGTGAAAAGAACAGAAAAAGACCTTTTTCGAGATTTTCTGAGTAAGGGGGTAGATTACGGAAAGGGAAGGTGTTAGCACCCTTTCCATTTGTGGTTTTCCACGGGCTCTTAGGTACTTGCTCATTTTTGAAAATTGCTTCCTTATTTGTGTGTTTTGAAAAGTTTGTTTGCTTTATGATAACTCTTGTATTATTCCTCAAGAGTGTGATAAAGGGTTTTTGAAAGTAGTTTTGAAAGTGTGGCGTAAAAATAAATTAAATTTGAGCAAGTACTTAAGAACTATCTACCTACTCGAAAAAGGGCGTTCTTTTCCTCCTTTCCTTTAGACAGCGCTATCCTACTATTAATGAGTAGGTAGCCCTATCGTTAGATGTTTGAGGGACTATCGTAAGAGACGTTTATGGTCATTGGAGGCAACATGTAGAGATACCTTAGCATTTCGAAGGGATTGTCATCATATATTTGTAGGCAGCAACGAGGGACAAGATAATTTCTCGTAGGCAACTCGAGGAACATTTAGGGACTATGATATTTATGATGACTTAAAACTGAGGGTCTTTGCTAAGAATATCCCTACGTTCGAGGGACATAACCATTTCTGAAGGCAACCAAAGTGGGAAATACCCTAAGGGTGCAAGTGTGCAATAATATGCTTTTTTCAGATATTTTATCTTGATGTTAGTGATCTAAGATTAATTGATTAGTTCTTGCCATACACGCCTAACTTACTAACAGTTTATATACAGGCATATAATATAGTGTACAAAGTAAAACCTACAGCTATTACAAGGCTTCGGGGCAATTACAATTATATCTGACTGAAAATATAAAGTGCGGAAATTAAAACCCTAATTAAGCTATTACAAACCGGTAGGCAGTTACAATAATCAAAAAATGTAAAAGTAAATAAACGCGCGCATGAATTGAAAATATGTCTAAAATCCTAAGTGAAAGAAATTCTTTTTGTTTGTTTTTGTTATAAAAAGAAATTGAATTAAAAATCCTAAGTCTATTAAATTTTAGTTTTTTTAAGAAAATATTAAAATAATTAATTAACTAATTGACAAAATTAATTTAATATAAAAAGCTAAGCCTAATGTTTTTATGGTTTTTTAATGTTAATTAAAGCTTAGAAGAAGTAAGGACAAACAACCAAAAAAAAAAGGACAAAATCGAAAGATAAAAACAGTAAATGAAAAGAGTGCATTCTTGGAAGTAAGGCCTGGATCGAAGAGGCTTGGGTTGCCTTTCGATCCAGAGGGCTGATCGAAGACCTCGTTCGAGGGTCTTGGGGGTACTAGATCTGGAAGCAAATTTGTTAGAAATTGAAAATGCAGGGCCTGGGATTCGAACCATGGTCCCTTCGATTGCACGAATTCCCTTTTACCACCCGAGCTGCTTGCTCATTCGAAATACATGACACCTGCTTTTAGTCCTGAAAATTAGTTAGTTCGAAACTAAATAAAACAAAAAACATCTCATTTGAAATCAATCCCTGAACCCGGATCTAGGTTTGTTTCGGTTTGCCACAGCCGATATCATTGGTTTCAAAGGTAACCAGCTTCGAAAAACTCTATACATGGTATTCGAACGTACGAACACTGCAACTTGCATACATTTTGTTAAATCGCTCACAAATAACAACAAAAACTATAAACATGCAATTATGAGTCTAATTTAAGATTAAGTGGGATTGAACATTTTTACCACTGGAGGCGCCTGGATCTACATCTTGGGTGTGAGATGGCTGGGGCAAGAGCAAGTGTATGTCTATGTGAACTCCAAGAACACGATCAGAGTGTTAATCTGGACGGAGGATGCCTGCAATGGTATGGAGTTTTGACAACTTTGGAATTTGATGCTATTTTCTGGACCTTCGTGGGGAAGGTTGCGTTTTTTGCGAGGCAATATGTGTGTCTCTTCGTCCATTTTTTCTCTGAGATCATGAGGTTTATATAGACAAGGGATTTTAGGTCAACATTTCTGTATCAAATCTTGGTCCATTATGATGAAGATATTTGATTTGATTTCTTCATAAAAACTTGCTATATTTGATTCAATCAGGTGCCAATCCATTTTCATGCGTTACTGCCAGCCTGTTATGAGTTGATTGGGCCTCCAATATGATTGAAATCGAAAGATGACATGCCCCTGCAGAATTTGTTCTCTTCGAAGGCTTTGAACTCTAATTTTAATTGCACCAGCTTCGATGTCATGGCTCCTTCGATTGAGCCACTCTCTGCTTTGATTGCTTGATTTGAAGAGAATCACCCTGGTCGAATCAGCTCTTGTGGAGTTACGAACAAACAAGGCAAGGATCTGGCCTTTAACTCGGGAATTGAATCCACGATCAACATTGAATTCTTGACATACTTGCAAGGAAAACATGCCATTTTGAACTTTGGGTGAACCTGGATAGGTTAGGATAGGTGTTTTGTTCGAATTTGGATTAAGGCTTTCATCATGGTTCCTTCGATTAAGTATCAAGTTTTTCTCTCTTCGGTGGCTTTGAACTTGGTCCAATCGAAGCGTTATCTTATTGACTAATCAAAGTGTTGTTTTACACTCCTTGATGGCTCTAAGTCCTGATTCGAATTGCCCAGAACTTCCCTCATCATAACATTTGTTTTCCTTTGAAGGATCTGAATTCGGATTGCACCAACTTTGTTATCATGGCTCCTTTGATTAAATCTTAAGCCTTGCTCCCTTAGATGGCTCTGCATCTTGATTCGGATTGCTCATATTCTCAGCATCAGAGCTTCTACGTTTGAACCATAGTCTGCAGAAAGGCTCAGAGTTATCCTCTCCAATCTGCATAAATTCGAATGCCCATTGTTGTACCCCAAAATTTTCCCTCTCATTTTATCAAGATTTCCCCTCACAAGACTCCTTGAACTCCAGACAGGATTAAGGTTTGCTCTGCTCAAGACATCTCCTTGCACTGATTACCTGAAATTAGGGTTTGAGTTTGCACAGGGATTTTTGGACTTCCAATGTTCAAAGTGACTTTCATACTTCATGTTGGACTCATAAGTTTGTCCATACCAAGTTTCAAGCCCTAAATCGAATTTTTACCCAGTCAATTGGACAATTGACCTAGAAATCAATTGTATTAGGGAAAAAGTCAATTGTGGCCAATTTACAGTCAAACCTCATAAATTTTGACCCACATCAACCTTATAAACTCATATAAACCATTTGATCAAGTTTGGACCACAACTTCACAAGAAATTTGATCAGATCACCAAAAGGGTAAAATGGTCATTTTTAAGGTTTTGACTGCACAAGGGCAATTTCTGATTTTTGACCTAGTCAATGGCAAATTAAGTTCAAGCATGGATTCAAGGACTCAATGGCATCATCTTGACCTATTCACAAGGTTCAAAAGATCTCAATTGCATTGGATTGACAGATGAATTTTTCAGTCAACTGATCAAATTTTGACTGTACACTGAAAAGTCAAACTTTGACTTTTTGGTCAAAATCAAGTGCCAAGGGTCATTTTTCATCAAGATGTGTCAAAACATGAAACTTGTTCATCAAGAAACCCAATTTTGCAAATTAGGGTTTAGGATTGAAAAATTTCATAACTTAGAATTTTTCTAAGTTATGAAATTTTCTTAATTTTTCCCAACTTTGCCCAACATTTTCACCATGATGCATTTGGTTTAAAACGAAACTTCCAACATGAAAGTTGTAGTCCTCCACAAAGTCTACAACTTTTATTCACAAAGTTTTCCCAAAAGAAGCTTGGATCTCAAGTTATGATTTTTGGAACAAGGGTCCATGAAACTTTTAACTTAGTGAAATTTTGCCCTAGTTTAGGCAGGATTTTGGCCTATCTTCATGGAAATTTTTCACATGGTTCCACTTGGAATATAAAATTTCATTTCAAAGATGGATTGTAGAGCATGTTGCAAGCTTTCTAAAAATTCCAAGAACTCCCTAAAATCATTTGTGGTTAGGGAGAATCGAAAGTTTGAAGTTGGCAAAAACTCATTTTTCATCCATGGCATGTTCATAGTGATACAAGTTGCAAACTATAATCAGCTTTCTTTGCACTAGATTACAGGCCTCAAAACCATTACATACTCAATAATTTAATGCAAATCCATTGGTCTAAGGCTTTGTTTTGGTCATTAGAGCATTGCACACAAGATTAATCCCTAAATAGAAAAAGCAACATTACCATTTTTGCTTAAATTTTGCTTTATGTCAAAATGGCATCCTTGAGCATTGAGCCATATCTTGTGCAGCAAATAAAATACACCATCTTGAGGGGCCAAGAGCATAGTATGCAAGCTGATGAATAGCCTGTACAGGCCTGCTTTGCATCACTTGTCCACTTTTGCTTCATATACAAGAAACATGTCCAATATCACACAAC